TATCTTAAATTATTTAAAATCAAAATTCTACTAAATAAATTATATATATACTTTTTTTGTTATAAAATATACTCATATATTTTCTATAATATAAACTGCTTTTATTGCAACCTATCTGACACTTCAACATATTATGTTTTAACCTCATACTACTTACTAACATTATACAAGATATTATCTTCAAACACATTAGTTAAAACAACCTAAACCTCTCTAAACTTTAACAAAAAAAACTTATTTAAAAAATTCAAAACCATGAAACTTTTCATTATATACTATTTAATAAAAACTTATTCTATCTTGATATCATACTTAAAGAAGTTATATTCAAATCTCTAATTCAAACAATTCAAAACCTTAATATTTCTTACAAATTAACATCACAAACTACTATTAAAATATTTCTTGAAATCAATAAATTATATTATATAAACTATTTTGAAATTATATTGTATAAACTTCTCAAATTAGAAAAAACAACAAGGTTTTAAACTTTTTTTTCCTAAATACCTAAATTAATTATAATAGACAAACCAAATATAAACATATTTATGTATATATAAATTACTTAATCAAGTATATTCAAACTTCAACACATGTTTATTTATTGGTCATATTATTAGAAAAATTAATATATAGACTATTTTTTAGTTCAAATATAATATCTTTTTTAATTATATTTTAACTATTCAAATTTAGGTAAGTTTTGAACATTCTAGTAGATTTAGATCATAGATAAATATGTTTAAGCTTTACTCTTAAATATAGGTTTTTTTTTATTTGTACTTAAATTAGTTATATAGTTAGCAATTTAATAATTAGCCTTAACTGCAAGTGTTAGTCTTAGCTATAGCATTTATATTTAATTATTTTTATATATAGTAACTTTATGTAGTTACTAACTTTAAAAACTATTAATAAAGATATGAGTAAGGCCTTATCTTAATACCAAAAAAAAATAAAACTATTAAAAAAAATATATAATTGACTATATAGAATTAAGTTAATAGAAAACAAGTAAATTTTTTTAAAATAAATTTTTTTGAAACTTTAAACAAAGATAACTTAATTAAAACTTTATCAAATTTAATAAAACCTTTTTAAAATAAATACTACAAATTTGTAAAATTCATTTTTAAAAAATTTTATTAAGTTTAATTAAGTTTTTGTTAAGTAATTATTGTTTAAAATTTTAAAAAAATTTCAATAAAAACAATTTGCTTGATTTCTGTTAACTTATTTTTATATATATATCTTTTTATATTATTTAAATATTTAAGAAATTTATTTAAAATTTTTTTACTAATTGTTATATTTAATATTTTTGTTTAGATATTCTATTTTAAACTTATTAAATTTGTATTCTAGAAAATGTGATAACTTAGTAAAGTAGATAAGTTGTCAATTTCTAAATTGTAGATAATAAGTTCAAAACTCACTAATAGTAAAAATTTGGATAATCACCTATATAATATATAGACAGTATTATACCAACAGCATTCTGTTGATTAGTTAGAATAAGATATTTGTAATATAGTTATATTAGCATAACTGACAGGTCATAGGGTATTTGCACAATGTTGAAATTATACAAAGAAATGCAAACTGGTATCAAGTAGTATAAACTCAAGATAAGTTCTTGTGACTATATAAATTTGTAAAATAAGAAGCCAGAACCTATTTGAAAAAACCTGAATAGAGAAGTAGCATAAATCTTTGACAGTATTACTGTAAAGCCTAAACTAGAAAACAGATACTAATGTAAAAGAAATTGTATGAACAAAAACCTCAGATAAGAGGTACTACTAACTAGACTGTCAGAAGTCTTGAACCAGAGAAAAAGAATTTTGAAACAGACCTTGAAGTACCAGAAACAAGTTATAGTCCTTTTGAACTTTTTAGATTAAGAGTTTGAAATCAGAAGCAGAGATATTCTATAAGTACTAAAGATATGCTATGAAGTCAGTACTGGGGTCTAGATGAACTCTGCAAGAATAAGCCCTGTTAACAAAAAGATTAAATGTGAATAATTAATTAGCAGAAAAGCCCTCTGAAAGCTTATAGTTATGTGATATACTTTGAAATATGTAATGGCTTGACAGATGTACAGAAAATAAGGTTAAAGTTAAATTAGATAGCACTTAGGTGTACAGGAACTTGTATACTATTTGTCAGTATAAGTATAGAGATCAGAGTATTTAAATAAGTAATCTTTTAGTAGATTGCAAATATGATAATTAGTGTAGAATCTGTTATATAAATGTTCTACTTAAAATAAACAACCAAAAGTTATATATATAACTAGTTATATACTTACTTTGTACAAGTTATGTAATCATAAATAAAATACAACAAAGGTAATAGCCACTGATAATCATGATCAAAAAAAAAAAAACTTGTATTCTATATTAAATTTACTAAATCACAAAAATTTTTTTATATATGAATTTTTATTTTAAATTTAAAATAATTTATTTTTAAAATAAATCTTTTAAAGTTTTTTGTATTTCTATTTGTAACTAATTAAATATTGTTATAATTGAACCAATATTTGCAATTAGAATTAGTTATTAAACTATTATATTTTTGTAAAGTTTATACAAACTTAGTATTTTTCTTTATAACTTTATCAATACTTTATTTATTTTTGTAAGTTTTCTTATATTACTAATTTAATAAGTTTTGCATAATGCAACCTTATGTTTAAATTAAATAATAATCAGATTGGTGAATTTTTTTTATCTAAAGATTCTTGTTTGTTTAGATTATCTGGTTTAAATTTTCTTTTTCAAATCAAGATTTTCACAAATAATATTATTTAAGATTGTATTATTTTTCTATTTAAAATTTTTAAACAAGGTTTTTTATAAAGTATATACTTTCTAAATTTATTTATATAATGTTGCATACTTACAAAGTTAGTTTTAGTACAACTAGAATTACAAAAATACAACACCAAATACTTGCTAAAATAAAACTATTTTTCAAAATTCTGTTATTAGTAAAATTTGAACTCTGAACCTACTGCTTAAAAAATAACAACCCAACTATTATGCTAGAATTACCATCTTTTACAATAATATATATTATATAATCTAATAGTAATATAATAAATAATTTTTTAGATTAGTTCAATAAAACAAAATAATAAAAAAATAATAAATACGTATAAAAAATAATTATTTAAGCCTATTTTGAAATATTAATTAAAAATATTAAAAAAATTTTTATCTATAATATCTATCTTTATTATAATTTTAATCTAATTTTAATTTAATCAAAATTATTTAACTAAATATTGGTTTAGATTAAAAATATATCAGTTAGATATTTTTAATTAAAAATATTTATAATTTTTTAAAATTTATTATATCTTTTAAACAGTTTTTTAAACAAATTTGTTTAGAAATTTTATAATTGATTTGTAATTAAGCTATCAAATTATATTAAATTGTAATATATACGTAGTTAAAATTGACAGTTTAAAGGATATAAAAATTTATCATACTATAATAGGTAATTCAATAAAAATAAAACTTCGCAAAATTAAGAGTTTTTTAAACAAAAAATATAAACAATGGGTATCGTGTCTGAAGTTATGCAAAATTTAACTTCAGGGGCCAAAACTCTAATTTCAGTTAGATGCAACTAGCTACTTGACATGTTAAGCAACCTAATTTTCGCTACTACAGCACCGAACAGTAAAAAAACATCCAATATTACAGTATTAGCCAAATTTGTGATCATTTAATTTGTATATAGCCAATTCTGATTGGTCCAAAATACATACAAACAATTTTTTTATACCGGGTTGGTTAAAAGTCCCTCTTTTACGTACCATTCAATTTTATTATTTTTTATATACAGTATATTGTATTACGTATATATGCATATATATAAAAAAATGATAAAATTAAATATTAGTGGGTATATTGGGCTCCAAATTTTGATTACCTATAAATTTTAAGCTAAAATAACTTTTCAATCTTCTAACGGAATTGTAGCTTAGGCTAAAAGCGACCAATCTGTAAGACAATTTTTTAAAAAAAATTATTTGTTTCTGAGTTATAATTTTATGTATAAAGAGTGTTGTATTTATTAATAAATATTGAATTTACTCGATATTATTTATACGTAGTTATTGCATGCGAAGTATGCGATGATGATTGGTTGGTAACCGACCCGGTACGGCTGGGTTATCGAACGATCAGAAGAGAATATAAAATACAGCAATTGATGCATACGGGAATATTCAATAACGGTTTTATTCAATGATCATATAAAAAGTGCCATAAAATAATTGATTGATTTTATAGACTGACCATAGTAAAGCATTGAATAATTAAACTTTAACTAATCAGAATGCTTGATACTAATGTCTAAGATGCCACCATATTAACTTCGAGCATACCCGCGCGAGTACTAATAAAATCGTCTTGCAAAGTTTTGTGTAAAACATGTGGATAACATTTCACATTTGAATCAAATGTATTGGTCAGCAATGCTAATAATGTACATATGTCCTTGAACTTACCGGGATATAAACCGAAAAACAAATGTGCTTACGTATTAATATTGGTCATCCGTGGTATTCTTATTATGTAAGTTAATAAACAAGGCCACATAAACTTATATAATCAAGTATTGTTACACGGATTTTTAAATCAGAATTAAGATATGCATATATACGTCTAAAAGTTTTGCTTGAATTAGAATATGCACATGGTTTAAAAATTTTTCCTGATCTTGATTTTTTTTTAATACTATAATATCGATAACGATAATTTATTATACTGACATTTCGGAATCATAACTGATAATAAAGCCGTTGGACACGATTATATAAAAAATGCTAAAAAAAAAAAAAACGAAAATAAAAGATGTCTGTTTCACAAAGCAAGTTACTAATGAACCAATAAAAACCATTTTCTTTTTATCGTTATCATCACACAATCTTTTCGTGCGTACGAAAATATTCAAAAATAAAATAAACTGTTCAAATGGAGTCTATGCTAGAAGACTATGATGTAAGCCCTGCCACTGGCTTTCTCCCCTCAACACCGCCTCTACAACGACTACCCAGCTATTATGAGCCTTGGGAGGCACTACTCGATAATTTTCACGATTTAATGCTAGCGGGACGTTTAAGATCCTCGATCAACAAGGTATGGTTTAGACTGTTTTGTGATATGTTCTACTGGCAGCAGCACAATATAACAAAGGAATCACTATTTATACCTATAAAAAAATGATTTTGTACGACTAAATATATTCGATCTGTAATATTAAATACAAATTTAGTTATTGGTCTTGGATACTATTCCACTCAAAACCCTAGCAGAATATCATCGCGCGTTTTTGGTTTTATCTTCCTTAGCGCATGGATATGTATGGGGAAAATTTGACGAAGTCTCGGATGTTAGTGAATTTTGATTTTCCATTTTTTTCCATTTTTTTTTTTTCATTCTAATCACATTTCTATTACAGAGATTACCAGCTTGCATTGCCAAGCCATGGGTCAAGGTATCCGATCACCTAGGTATTTCTCCCATTGTAAACCACGCCGCTGTCGTGTTATGGAATTGGCGGCTGATCTTCCCAGATGAACCATTTAGTTTAAAGTTCATATCCAAACTCATTTATCATTGACCAATATATTTATTTATAATAGATATATTTTATATTTTTTGTTTAAAATACAATGGGAAATATCTAATATCTTTTTTTTTTTTTTTGAATTTTTGACTATTCTCTATTTAGCAATCTTGCCACATTATTTACCTTTTCAAATACCCCAGATGAATCATGGTTTTATCTTGTGACTACTGCTATAGAAGGATTTGGTGGAAGGGCCATTACTGCAATAATGTCTGCCATTCGTGCTATAAAGGCTGGAAATAATCAAAAATTGATAGTTGCATTGAGAGACATAAATTCTACCATTGTTGACATTAATGCTACTCTGCAAAGGATGCATGAAAAATGTGATCCATATGTCTTTTATCTGATGGTACGACCATACTTAAGTGGGTGGGAAAATGAAGATCGCTTACCGCATGGGCTTATATATGAAGGGGTAGATGATAATGATGAAAATGGAAATCCAATTTATCGTAAATATGTAGGAGCTAGTGCTGGTCAGAGTGCATTGATCCAAGCATTGGATATTGCTTTAAATATTGAACACTATCCAACAGGAGTTAAATCATCAATTAATGGGCACTGTCCTATGAAAAATTATACATCTGGAAATGGTAGCTGCCTATTTGAATCAAAATATAATAATAATAATAATAATAATAATAATAATAATAATAATAATAATAATAATAGTAATAATAATAATAATAATAATAAATCACAACAATGTTTGTCTGACGAAACTCGTATCAAACTACAACAGCCTTATTTATATAAAATTCGCCAAAATATGACTGGTCGTCACAGGAAATTTCTTGAAGATCTTGCAAAGGTTGCTAACATTCGCAATTATATCATTTCACAAACGAGTTATGATTCTAGTATCACCACCATCTCTTCACCTGATGAAGACATGGACATGCTTCAGGGAACAAATGAGATGGTTCAAGTGTATAATGAATGTTTAAATCAAATGAAAAACTTCCGAAGCAAACACTTACAGATTGTTAGTGTATATATTATAATACAAGCACATCGAGGCAATGGTGACTCCAGGTATCATTTACCAATAAATAAAGGTAATTTGAGATCATGATACCAACTAAAATATTTATAATAGCGGCTATTGCTGAGATTTGGAGTCTTTATTTAACTCTATTCTATTACTGAAATTTTGGAGTCTTTATTTAACTCTATTAAACCTACTAAAGTCCAATACAATTTTTTATTTATTTATTCTTATAACCCCAAATTCTAACTTAAAAAAAGAGAATGCACTCCAAAAAAAAATTGAAATTCTTATTAAAATAAGTTCAATTTTCAGCATCAGCCGCGACATTTACCAATATTTACTAACAATACTTATAATGATAATTACAAACTCAAATATTATTCATTAATATTTGTAATTGGCATAGATGTAGCAACATCAAAGAATGAAGTATTTCGAATAACTACTAACAATGTTATTGCAAATAACAAAGAAGCCACTACAACAGTAAAACCCACTACCACCAAATCCGTTGAAATTAAGGGTACTGGTGGAACTAATTTAATTCCTTTTTTAAAACAAATGAGAGATGAAACAATGCTTCAAGAGATTCAGAACTTTTATGAATGAAAATTAATATTTACCTTGATAAATTTTGTCAATTGGAAAATTTAATAAATGGCATACACGCAAGGTTGCGTGTTTGATCCTGACTACTTTCGTACAATAGATCCGATAAACTTTACTCAAGTTGAAGACTCTGCCATCGTAAAAATACGAAGAGTTAGTACAGTATTGAGTTAAATAAGACGTCTATTGATATCTATTGATATGAAATTTAGTATGAAAGGATTGGAGTATTAAAATAAATAATAAAGTGAAAATAATAGTAATAAACTCTTCGTATGGATTTTTAAAATTATTTAAAAAATTTCTGATAATTGTGGTAATGTTTTTTTTTTATTAATGAGATGCTTTAACTATTAAGTCGTGTTGCGTTATTATAACGCAACATTAATCTTGTATTACCTCTAGTCGCTATCCTCGTTCTTATTTATCATGTTCCTTGTCGCAGTTTTGATGCACCTTTAAAATTAGGAATTAAAAAAAAAAACAAAAACTCAACACAGTAATCACCGTGCGCTCTTTACAGTATATAATGTTATTGAATAATGTTCTATTAATATGGGGTAATAATCAACTATTATTATCCGAGTTATACAATATTAATGTTCTTCTATATTGGATTATCATTGTATTTGTTTTTCTAGTAACTTTATCTTATTGAAAGACAAATGCTCCTGAGACCACCGATTATTTTATCATTCAATTTCTCTGCTACCCAAAATACTCGCAACCGATACGGTACTAATGATGAAAAACGAGCGTTTTCGTTGTGTCTCGGCATAGGAAGTGCATTATTAGCCATAATTATATACTTGATAGATCGTAGATAAAAATAGCAAGTAAATTTATCAATTGCAGCCTCGAAATTTAAAAGAGAGAGGAAAGTAATATACTTACAAGAGGAAAGAGAAGTGCGAACACACCAGCACTTAAAAATTGATCAACAAAGAATGTTATCACGGTAAACATGAAACCTGAGGAAATAAAATTAATAAAGATTTTCTGATAACCTAAATATTACACATCAACGAAAAATTATTACCAAATCCGGCGAAATAAGACCACCTTTCTTCAAAATATCCTATACGTTGTTCTAAAGACCAACCTTGATTAATCCATTTGTACCTATTAAAAATAAATATATAATGTGGATATAGATCAAAATTCACAATAGTCGATGAAAATAACATATACTTACTCAAAACTATAATAAGCATATATCCAACAAAAATACATGAATGACATAATTGGACCGATAACAGGTATGACATACACTATAGTTGCCACCATCAAATAATTCATGAATAATAATGCACGATAAATCTCATCAGCTATTACTTTTAATGCTCTAAAAAAAAAAAAAAAGCATATATTAAAAAGATCGTCAAATTATAATTTGAATACATAGGAAAGAACTAACCTAGGATATGTTCGATTAGAGTTTATGGGTGGACGACCATGATACAATCTATAAGCTCGATCTGCTATTTCTTGATACCACATAGCATTCAGTACGAAACTTAGTACAAATATCGGATAGACCCATAATAACTAAAAAGGGATATTTTAAAAATTTGATAAATCTAATAAAGTATATAGAATTCTTTAAATTTATAGTACTTGATAAGTTAAAGCCACTATGGTATCCAAAATACTAGTAATTAAAGGTGAAAATTTGACGTCTGAAGCCTCTTCAATAGCGCTGTCACTTCCTCTGTGATTTAGTACCAAAAAAGACTTTCCAAGGAAAAAATGTAAAGTGGGTAAAGTAATCTGATTGAAAAAAAATATGCTTCCTAAAAAGATCACGCCATTAAGGACAAAACATTTTAGGGTACGGTTTTTGATGGTTTGTGATCTGTTTATTAAAGCCAAGTATGAAGAAAAAAAACGTATATTTAGAAAAGAGTGTTTATTTTATAATAGAAATAAGCGAGTAAGTAAAGCGATTTACCCGTAAATGGTGATCAAGCCAGAAGGCCAAGCGAAAGCGTCTTTAAAGCCACACCAAAAATATTTAAGGCACAACTTCAAAGTTTCTATAAAAGACTCCATCAAATGTTTTTTACATTTGAAAAGAAGAGTTTTCTTGCAATTTTTTTATGACAAAAACTGGATCGCATCATAAGAACTGGATTTATTGATGTCACACGGAGCTTGGGCTACTGGTTACTGGTCTGCGGATCACACGCTAACTAAAGTTGTAATACTATTGGTAAACACGAGAAGTATTTTAATTTCTATTACTATTACAGATCCCATACATCAAACTTTGCCATGTGGTGAATTTTCAGTAAAATATAGCAAGCTAGAAATAAAGTCTGATGCATAATGAATATATCACGCATAATAGGGAATATGAAAGATCGTATTTGGTATTTAAGCTATAACGATAACTATGAAAATAAGTTTTTTGTTTCCTTGCATTTTTTTGTTTCTAGTAATGTCCAGCCGCAAATTACGTACACACGTACGTACCTACCCTACATGATTAAAATTACGTATTGCGTAACATATCAGATATTAATATAAAGCAAAAATTGTCAGCGCATAATCATACATGAATCATGAATGTTGCACAATTAGGATAAATAACAATCGGAAAACATTATCTTTACAAAGGATCATCGACCTTGTATCACAAATTACCAAAATGTAATTAACGGTCTATTTTACTGGTAGGATCGAAAGATGGTCAAAACATAGATTTTCAACTCACATTCGTACTATCCGCGTGATACGAATCATTAAGCGCAATGCGCCAAGTCAAAGCTTTCCCACGCATAAAGGTATTGGTGATTTTCTTACTTACACAAGCGAAAATCATATCTTATCGGTTCACAACGTTTAATGTTTACATTACTGTGATGTGTACGAACAAATTCCAATATAATCGAAAACATTGCTAAGAACAAATCAAATCCATGTAAAATATGATTTATGTTAATCCGCCACCAAAGCTCTGGAACTTAAATGGCTTTAAATTTTAAGTTTTGTGAGTATTTCATATTTTTATTATATTAAATAAAAAAGGCCTAAGATCCCAAGCATCGATAATTTCGCGGCTGGGAACGATTAAAGTGAAGGGTGCTTTTATAGAATCTTCATCAGAGTCATGAGAACAACATGGTTCGAAAAGAATCCAGGGAAATAATTGCGTTTTAGAAAAATTTTAGCCAAATTTTTTATTGTTAAACAGTACAATAAATAACTAAACTTACAATTTATTGCAAAAAAAAAAATTAGTGAGACGAATCTTTTTCTTTTTCTTTAACTTTTCTCGGGTGATTACTAGCTGCCGATTCGGTGGCTGTATTAGCACCACCAATCTAATGAAAAAAGTAAACATAATTATGAAAGGATATAGATAGATAGATAGATAGATATATGCTGTGCCTTAGATTAGCGCTTGTCTCAAATGTCGAATTTTGGCCAGCATTAACTGACTGGCCTAATTATACCCTATCCCTAACCTAGCTTAGGCAGATCGACATCTGAGGCAAGTGTTAGTTTGAGACACAACATATATACATATATGGGCTTGGTGATAAGAATTTAAAGAATTATACTTCAAAATTTCGTTAAGATAACAGTATTTGTTATCTTAAGTGAAAATGTTTCTCGACTAATTTTGGTTTAGTTAAACTCAAAAGAAAGTCAATTTCTCAGCACTTAGCCTATATGTATATATGAAACTAGTTTGCAGATAAGATGTGAATATCTTACTCGAACATGGTTGAATTTTGGTAACACCTAGCATAAAAAATTAAATTACTATTAATAATTGTCAAAATAATTCAATTTTAAAAGTTTCCTGATAAGGCTTACCTCACGAAGATACTCCAAGTGGCGAGCATGCAAGCTTGATTGCTGCTATTGAATTTTTAAAATTTCAATGGGCAAAATGCACCCCATATTGATTATTTTGAATAAAATAAAGTATCACTATAAATTATACACAAGATCCGAAATAAAACTTAACTGAGGTAGTTTCGGAAAATATACTCCGAAAATTCAAAATATAATTTTGGGTATTGGAAATCCGAAACCCAAAATTATATTTTGGAAAAGGAAAAAAAGGTTCGGATCTCAAGTATACTATAAATAAAATTATTTGTTAAAAACTTACGCCTCCGCTTGCTGTCTGAATTCTCCGATTATGATGATCACCATATATAACAGTATTATCGAGAATTGCCTCATCCCTCTTGGTTGAGCAAACGGCACCAATAACGCAATTATCTCCTAATGATGTAGTCCCCAAAATTCTCGCTTTTTAAATGTTCACGTAAATAAAAATTAGTCATATAAGAATCTTTAATACAAAAACAGAGAAAGAGATATAGATTATGGACTTACCTTTTGCTTCCACTACATTTTTATTCCCAATTCTGGATCCCTCTACATCTAAAATTCATTCAAAGATTTTTTGACATAAATGAATGTCCATAAATGAATGTCCACAAGACAAAGGAATTCACGACCGAAAAATAATTAAAAAAAAATTACAGCATCCAACTTCAAAAACATTTTCATCACCAATAATTAAAGGTGTCGGTTGTCTGAAATAATTGTTAATATAAATATCGTGAATATTCTTGTGTAGAATGTCTGAAAATACGATAATTACTTGTTTATGATCGTCACATTTTCTTCTATGATGTTGTTTGAACCGATAATAATCGGACCAGATTCCGCAACGATCTTACATTGAGGGTGCAAGACAGTTCCTAAGTAGCAAACATTCTAATTCTAAACGTGTTCGTTCTTAGAGAAAAAACGAAATGTTCAAGACATCCTTAAATACCTGAACCTATAAGATTTAAAAAAGTATATTGCAATTAGTGTTAAAAGATAACTACCAAACATTGGTGTACTCTACAAAATAAACTGTTAATACCTATATCAATTTCACCTTTCATTTCGGTGTCTTGGCACACGACAGCCCGTTTTCCAATTGCAAAGCATTCTCTGTCATATGAGAATAAATTATAGTCAATTAACAAAAAAACTTTTAAAACTTCTTCAAATGACAATTACTTTGGCATTTTATTATTTTGGCCGATTATTCTAATTCGAAGTTTTTTCCAATTTTTCCAAATTTGAATTACTTATGTTCAGTTTTTGATGCATTACAAGTTACATTCTTGATTAATTCATTAGATATATTATACTGATGCATCAAAATGCAATTTTGAAAATTCTGTCTGTTCGCACGCGTGTCTATATTTGTACTTTAGTGTAACAAACGCATGTATGTCACAATTCAGAATCAGGGCAGCGGATTTAGTAATATATTATTATTATTTCTTTTAGTTTTCTTGCGAAATAGTTAATTTATATATATTATAATTATATAATACTCATATATGCCACCTATACTAAAGATCAACCCTAAAACCAGCTATCCGATTCTGAATTGTAACAGTTGGATCTGGATATATATTATCGTTATATTACATCCAGTAATTGATCCTTTCTTTTTTTTATCTTATATTTTTTCTTATGATATCAAAACATAGCATTTAGACAGCCTCAATTGGTAGTGGAGCAACCAAATTCAGCAGATTAGGCCTGGAGCTAGGCCAGCATTAAACAATAATGCGAACCAACTTTACTACAACAAAATTATCATTTGGGCAACTTTATATACTATTTTATTATATAGTAAAACTTTGAGTAATCTGTGAGAGTATTTACCAATTCTTATTCTGATTCAAAATTTGGGTCAATTTGCTGAATTTTGGTTGCTTCATTAACTTATCTTTTTTAAAGAGCCTTGAATACTTTAGTGTAACATATTTGTATATGGTATTTATTTTTTATTATATAGTTTGTCATTTTACAATAAGATTTGATATTATATTTTTAGAAATCTATTTTATTAGGTTTAGGTTACAGATTATACAGTATATCTGAGTTTTTATTCTTCATATATAATTTAAAAACAAGTTTTTTTTTGTAAAAACTTTAATTAAATTTTAATAGCATCAGAAAAGTTTTTAAAGATGTTATATATTATTAGTAATTTTTAGATTACTATTAATATATAACACTTTTGTTAGATATTATTGTTAGTGATTACTAATGATATATAACAAAAATTTGTTAAATTTTCTTAAATTTTGATTTATAATTTCTCAATAACTATTAATCTAAATCAGTTTAAATTTTTACTATATATAGTGTATATATTCAAGTATATTGTAATATTATAGAAATTTTTAAACATTATTTTATATTAGTTTTATATTATATTTTATTATGATCTATTTTTAAATCATTTTTATTTTATTATTTATATTATATTTTA